TTAGAATGGTGCACTAAAACGTGCTGCTTCAGAGCCAAAGGATTTCTAACAGTGGTTTTCCAGTACGTGATTTTGCCAAAATCATCCATTTTCTAGCCCAGCTAACTGTGCTTGCTTTTGTTGTGTTGAAAGTTGCAGGCACACAGAATAATAAAGAGGGAGAAGAGAACAGTCATTGGGCAGAAACCTAATTTTTAAGCTGCTGGAACATGCAGAGCTGCTTTTGTTGTTTGTCAGGTAAAACAAAAGGGGAGCCTAGAGAGCAAGGAGTTTAAATACTGTTGTACTCCCACACTGTCTTTAATTAGAATATGACCCTAACAACAGATGTCAGAAGGGGAAAATGACACTTCAAATGCAGGATCCACACACCATTTTAAATCTAGTTTCAATTATTCAGTGCTAAGTTGTATTTTAAGGGCACCACAATTTACATAGTTATTTTTCGTCATTTTCAGAGTATACAAAATAATTAATTATTGGACGTTCGACTGCTAGCTCCACTGACTAAAGCAGGAGCCTGAGTTTATAACAGCAGGATTTAAATGCTCTAATTTGGCTTTTTTGATTGCCTTACAGAAATCCAGGAGTGTTTCTTTCTGGCTGTTTATTCAGAATGCAATTTGTGATTAGGACCTGACTACCTTCAGATTATAATAGCTTAAAATAGCGAGACTAATATGTTAGTATGTTCTGCTTCCTACCATTTTTGTATTCTCATTTCATTGTTTTGCTAAATGTAATGTGATAAATTTTTGGTCTTACCAATTTATTTGCCTTAGTTAAGTACTCACTCTCAGACAATTTACTTGCTGCTGGATATCATGCATACCTCTCCGAATAAAACAGAAAGTGTAATTGACTCTTTTCTAAATGCCTTTGCTGTCCCTTGGGGTCTCGTTAAGCTTATTCAAGGGTTTTGGCTTCTAGATCACAGTGATTATGAAGTAAGTATGTAACAGTTTACTTAGATACACATTGCAGTGCAGAGCTCTAATTGATAAAACTATTTTTAAAAAATTGTTGCTTAGATATTAGGAGATACTGAAACATTAGAAGCATTTTTGTAACACTGCACTGTGGAGCAGTAAGCTATAATTTGAAATTTTACTTTAACTGCTTTGACAGGAAATTACTTAAAACAAAGGAAGAGTAAACTTTAATAACACTTGACATTTGAATTTTCAAAACTATCTATTGTTGGAGGTTTTCAGCAGAGCAGTTAAGCATTTTCTCTAAGACGTTTTGGGTACTTTAAATGTGAAACCTATGAGAGTATCAGCAAGATTTGAGGTGGAAGATTGCAGACGTGACTTTTCAACCTAATTCCTGTTCTTCCTGATGCTGGAGGTTGTTCTTTGCCTGTCACCATGTCAATAGAATGAATTTGTTTGTAGAGTAACTTCTTATTTAGTGATATATTTGTAAAAAGGAATGTTTGTGCACAAAGATTTGTTAACTTAGAAAAGTCTGAATTCCTCCTTTTAAAACATTTGCTTTGTTCCGTATGGCTGAATTTTTTCTCTGCAAATACTGAAATTTTTATTGATGTGTCCTGGACCAAATATTTCATTAGACGCCTAAGTGTGTTTAACCCACCTGCAGCCTTGCTTAAGGAAGTGTGGACTGTATGTGTGGCATGTGTGCATGTATATAGTCTGATAAACGTGCTCTCTGACTTGTGCAGAATTCACTGGCCCTGCTCTTCCACCCAGCTACAATCAAAACTGTGCCATGGCAACACACGAGAATTATTCAGTCCCTCATGTGCCAAGGAGAGCACAGGCGAGCCCTCAGGTACATCCAGATGATGAAGCCATCCATGTCAAGCAGCAGCGAAGTGCGGCTTTTCCTCACTGTGCTGTTGTCCAATAGGTAAGGAAATCTGTCCCACCGTTTTGGCATTCAGATCCTGGGAAGGGGCGAGAGCAGATAATACAAATCGTGATCCTCTACATTTCCTTTAATCTTTGAATGAATACAATGACTTTGGGGCATCTTTTTGGTTATGCTGTTCCCATTCCTTTCCATCTCCCAAAAATTAACTACAGGTGCATGGTGGAGGCTTGGGGTCTGTTGCAGCAACATACCACTAAATTAAATGTAGAAGAGCTGTTAAAGCACATGTATGAAATCTGTCAGGAGATGGGGCTGATGGAAGATTTACTGAAGCTGCCATTCACAGACACTGAAAAAGTAAGTTTGGAGAAGACAAAAAAAGTCTGAATGGTCTGTTTGTCAAGAGAAGAGGCAGAATCCTCATAGGTTTTTGTAATGTGTTATTTCTCACAGGAGTGTCTGGAGAAGTTTTTACAGACCAATGCTGGTGTTCAGAATCATGAATTCCTTCTAGTCCACCATCTGCAGCGTGCCAACTATATCCCTGCACTACAGCTGAATCAGTCAATGAAGGTTAATCTTATGGTAAGGGTAGAAGTCCTGTCAAGTGTGCACGAGTTTCTCTTTGTGTGACTAACCAGTTTTGATAGTCCTCAGTAAAAGGCCTGCTTTATTTCTTGTATCATTTTTTGAAAGACTAGGAATAATTTTACTATGGCAAAACTGCTTTGTGAAGTTGTAAATTAAATGTTACAGACCATGGTTGACTCCACTTGAAATAGTTTGTTTGCATCTGAGGAATAAATATGTATCTTTTCTTACCAGCCCATTTGTTCCTTCAGTTCCTCAGATCCCTTTGCTATGTATGGCTTAGACTATGGAAGATGTTTGTGTCACTCATTTCTGTGGAATGAAATATATGTTGTATATTGTGTCTTGTACACAATTTTATTTTTCGAACTGAGAGCAGTCTAGATGCTCCACAGGTAAAATATGCACAGTGGGTTTTGGTTAGTGGTTTGTTTGGTTTTTTTTTATTATTTTCTCTAACTAAAGTGCAAGCTTTGTGATTCCACAACTTTCATGTTATTTTTATGATTTAAAGTCTTACTCACGTTTCTGAAAATATTAAGATGAAATTTTGTGTTATGTGAACTTCCGTTGGGGATCTCTAATACATTTGCTGTTTTCTGGAACCACAGTTTTCCTGAAAAATCAAACTTATAAGGTGGTCTTGGAATATTTAGGTCCTGCATGTGAAAACTGTGTTCCAACCAGAAGGTTTGTGTAAGCAGCTTTTTCTAACTTGTTTTAATCTTCCCATAATTTTGTCCAACATAATTTGCAGTTGCCCTGTGTCTTCAGTTGTCTTGGACATTAGTATTTCAGAAAAACCACGGGAAACCTGCTGTTCTGTAAGCCACTTGAAAATTGCAGGTGATACGAAGTATATAAGAATAAAGCTCTATAGAGTGCCAGAGTAGTTTTAACTGGGAGTTGCAGGTTCTGCTGTTATTTCAATCTTCCTTGCACTTTTCAACTATTGGTTGAAACTGGTGTGCGGCTGGATAGAACTTGCTGCAGTTCTGTGCAGTGGACATATTTTACTGTATCTGTAGAGCAAATTTAGGCCCTAATTAGGAAGAGCAGAGATAGTTCCATGCAATAAACTTCTTGTAAATAACTTCTTGCTTTACTCATTTCATTTATCAGAACAATCGTGATCCTCGCTTGAGAGAGAGAGCAGTTGCCAGAAATTCTCTACTAGACCAATATAGTAAAATCCTTCCTACAGTTCAAAGGAAGCTGGCTGCAGAGAGAACCAAGCCTTACCGTGTGCCTTCATCGGTCTTAAGAGAAGGTAACTTTTAGAGGGGGGAATTATTGACAACCAGCCATCACCTTGATTACACAAGGCTTGTATTTTTCCCCTCTTGCTTTACAGTCCCAAGGCCAAAGGCATTATCAGCAGTAACACGACAGGCTAATGCAGGAAATGTGCACACACGAGCAGCTTTCATCGGTAAAGTATTGTCCAAATTTAGAGAAGTATGGTTGGGAAATGAGCAGAAAACAAGTATCTCACAATATTACAGGTAAGCAGCCTTTTCACAAAGTTTAGTCTTGAGCTACATTTTTGGGGGAAGAGAGAATGAAAGAGAGAAATTTGAATTATTTTAGGGTTTTGGTGGGAAGGTACATGTGAATAAAGCTTTGCTTCACTTCTTTTGCACATACAATATATAACATTTATGAATCAATCGGAAGTAATATTTAGAGAAACTGTTTTGGTATGACTATCTTACTTATGCAAATACATGTATTTACACTATGGCAAATGTGCTTACAGAGTTTAAGATAGCTGAGACTAAAACCTTGACTACCATCAAGCTGTTGGGTGTATACTTTGACACCCCAAAAGTGTCTGTCACTTGTTTGTGACCCTGATACATCACCCCAGCAGTGAGGCTTCACCTGCATTTGTTGATCATTGAATGTTTTTGTTCTGTACCATCTCAGATGAACATAGCACTTTTTTCATTTATTTATTTACATTCATAGTTTGTGTGTCCTAACAGATTGCTGGATTTGGTGGTTCGTCCTGTTCCTTCCTGTTCTGCAGCACAGGATGAAAGCTGGCAGACACTGTGCAGAGCTTCTACTTCTTTTGTGGTATCCAGGCCACTGAAATCAAAGACACATTGCTCTGTCTCACAAAAGAATTCTCCAGGAGCATCAAAGCTGAATTTACTGGAGACTCCTCTTGTGGCTAAGGTTTGTATTTTAAAAAGCTGCTATTGACCAAACCAAACCAAAAACATACTGGAAACAGTAAGTTTGGAACAGTCTTGAAGAGGGAAGTTTAGTTCTCAGTTAACATCAGTTTGTCCCATAGCTTTGAGAAATACACTTATTTTTATTGCATAGAACAAAGTAAATTAAACTTGGACTTTTCAATCCACAGTTAGCTATTTAAAAGATGCAATTTGTAGCTTAACCGTCTCAGTATTTAAGCACTCAGTAGCTCTTGTGTAGTTTGACATGCATTTCTAGAAGCCACATATGCATGCTTCAGATTCTTAATACAGTTACGTGAATGACAACTAAGCAATATCAGCCAAGTGTCTGTCAAATTCAGTGATGACGTTTTGCAGTTATTTTAGTTATCAGTTGTTTGTGTTAAGCTGCATTTCTATTCACTGCCATCAAACTGATACCATGCAAGGCAATAAAACCTGACTTAATCTTTTTGCATTTGCTTACCTGAACAAAATCGTTGTGACCTTTCTCTTGTTACAAAATATCACCCATACCCTTGAACTAGCTTCTTCCTCCTCCTTTTAAACCCTTTCAATACTGTAAAACATTTCTGAGCCAACTTGAGAAGGCCTGAACACTTCTACACAAAGATGTGTAGGTATTTTTATAGCAGTCACTTCATTTCATGTTGTGCACAGCTGATTAATTAGTGAAGAAATAAGCTGTGGCCATTGCTTTGCTGAGTTGCCGTGCTGGACACAGCAACTGGAAATGCTGCTCTGTGGAATAACATGTTGTGTGCCTTTTGGAAGAGCAGTGTAGAAGCTGCAAAAAGTACTGGGATAGGAGACAGCACCGCAGACAAGAAGATGCCATATTCAGGAAATTAATTTGAAAAATACTCTTTTTGTTGTCACGACCAAAACTTTAAACTCTGGGGACATAATTGTGTTTTACCCTGTCAGACACAAAGTGGGTCACTCTGTGTGGGTGTGGAGTAGTGCAGAAGGCACTGCAATGTGATGATCAGTGACAGTTGCATACACACCTTGTGTTGTAAAACTGCCCACTGTCCATGGGCGGTGGCACATTGCTAGTCCTGAACGGAAATACCAGAAAGGGAGCCTGGGAATTGCATACACTGACTGCTCTGATCTCTGCCCCTTAAATGAATGAACTTTCATCTCTAGTAGAGAGTACAGTGTATGTTTCTAACTTTCAAATTGGTAGTGATCTGAAAGGAAAAGCAGCTTTTCACCATCTTCAGTTTTATCAGTGTGAAGTTTGTCTGTTTGGTAAGGAATAAAGTACTAACAGGCATTTTTTAACTTCAGGTTATTGAAGACAGTGCAGTGAAGGCATAAAAGCTTAAGAAGCAGCACCTAAACCACCATTATATGGTGAACTACATCCATAAGGCAATCTTCAATACAGCTATGATTCTGTAAAGCATCAGTTTTTATGTGGTTTGCCTGATAATAAAAATGGTGAATGTGATGCAGCTGAGATAGAGACCTTTATATATCTCAGACTAATTTTCAGAGTTTTTACAAGAAAAAAAAAAAGCACCTCTGCAGAGAAAAATAATTTAATGCATTTATCACTCCCAAAAATCAAGAAGTCTACCTTTCAATATTTCTGTAACTCAAGGCTTCCATTTCCTACCAATCCACACCCAGAGAGCAAGATAACCCGACATGACACTGTCATAATAATGCTAGCAGCAAAAAGCAGACTCATCAGTTACAGTATCAAGTAGTATGAAATAGGCCAGTGCACCTAGAACCTGGACTGCATCAAGTCAAACAGCTTCCAAAATGATCAACAGAACAAGCCTCCATCGTTACAATGTGCAAAAGTAATACAGTTTATTACTACTTACCTAACTGAAGAAACCCTAACACACAGATCTGCACTAAGAACAGTTATTAAATAAAGATTAATTGAAAATGGTATTAAAGACATGCCAAACACAAGGAGTAACTAGTGGTTTCATCTGCTAAGGCACTTGTTATCCCAGGCCTGCCTGCTTTACATAGTTGCAGAAGGGGTGAAGTGAGATGGCTATGGTTACTTGTGAAGCAGACACTACAGCTGGTCCACTAAGTAGGAACCTGAAAAACTTAGATGAACAACATTAAAATTCTAGAACTAGTACCCAAGAAGTTACCAATTTAATATGTCTGTGAATTAAAACTTCATACCCACCCTTTAGGGATTTTCTCACTTTAGCAAATAGTATTATACATTTAACTCAAGTTTTCTTCTGTTTCTGCTGCAAACAATTGCACAGTGAAACTACTTTACGATTAGGCTTTTGCAGCCAAATGAGTTTTATTTGAGTTAGACCCAGTAAAGGTGTTAATTCATAGTTATGTTTTGTCTTCAGACTTCAGGCTTGCTAATAACAGAGAACTCAACGCCACGTCTGTTGAGGCGATCAATCAGTTTTGTTTTGGAGAAGGCAGCTCCCGGAGAATATACACCACCCCTGTTAGTGAAAAAAGAAAAACATTAGTGGCACAGTGATCGAGGGACACCTTTTTGTAAAGTTAAAGATGTGCTGCCATGATTAAGAAAGAAAAAGCCACTTTGTCCCAGAACAGAGTGGATAAGAAATTTGGCAAGGTGGTTATAATTATAGATTCATTTCTGCATCCAGCAAACCCAACAGAAACCATTCCATTAACTGAACATATAGACACTGATGCAAAAGCCTGACTAAAAGCCTATGACTACATCCTTTCAAACTGAAAGACTGGGAAAGACCAAGTGGCTTTAAATCAGCCTGTGGTGGAGCATCTCCCTTGCACAGCCAGTTGGGTGAGGTAACACAGAAATCCACAGGGTTGATATGCATATTTTCAAACAGAAACATTTGCACACAGTAGCTTTAAGGAAGAGCAAGCTACTCAGAATGGGAAAGTACTTACCGTTTAGGCAGAGAAGGTGCATCTTCCAGAAGAGATACAGCTGCTTGAACCATTGCAATAGGTGTAGCAACATATCCAGGCTCTGACAAACAAAACAAAACAAAACCCCCAAATGACATACAGTGTGTTGAAGTGTAGAATGTAATTTTGTTCTTCTCTACGGCATTCAGAAGAATAATCTCTTTGGCAACAAAACGGCCTTCCCCATCTAAGAACAGCAGTTTTTACCTAGTAATCAGCCCAAGTAGCTGGTGAAGTCTTTAAGATCTAATCCAGACAAATACTGCTTCACATATAGGCCTATAACCACACCACAATCATTGAGTGTCTACATCATGGTGAGAGAGGGCTCTCCAATACAGCAAGAACTTACTCCATTCTGTGCCTAAATTCAGACCTTTGTTGTGTAGCTTGAATTCAGCTACATCTCTAGTTATTTAAAGAAGCTATGGTAGATTAACTCCTTTCTGAACGTAGATTCTTGCTCTCTCCAAACCATGTAGGGTGTCGTCTCCCCTCAAGGAATGACCTGAACAGAAGTATGCTATAGCTAGAAATTATACCACACCAGACCTGGTTAAGTTCACTCCCAGGGAACTGGAAAAAACACAAGTAGTAAGTCCAGGCTATAACAACTGAAAACTATCCTTAAAGCCCTCTCCCTTCAATGGCTCCACTCGGCAAACATGAGAATTGGAACAGGGAAAGTCAGAGGAAAGATAATGACAAGAATTCAAATGAACTGGCCATTTCAAAAACCAAGTCACAATGAATTCTAATATTCAAGGTAATACACTGTAAAGCCTGTGACTTTGTTCCTGTTGCAAGTCCTTCTCAAGGGTGAAAGAGACAGCAGTGGAATCATAAACCTATTTTGGAGCAGGCAAAAGCAGTTAGCTGCTACCAACATACATACCTGGTCCTTTCACTTCAGTGCAGATCTTCACATTTGGTTTGCCACTCTGGGGATCTTGCCCCTCACTGTAACCCTCACCAAAAAAAGTCATTGTAAAAGAGGTTCCATCCATCTGTAGTGAACAAGACAAGCATGGTCACCAAAACAGTAACTCACTGATATCAGGCAAACACAAGTAGTAAATATAAGTATCCAAATTCTATATATAGAATTCTGCCAAATACTATAATCCATTTAAACATAAAAGCACTTATTTTGAGTTATTGCTTAAAAGGTATAATCTCATCTCAATTTTTAATTGCTTCCACTTTGTTGGAACTGTTCTTTTTCTGAAGTCTGTTTATTCTCTCAGTGCTTTCAGTCCTAGGTTTTTGCTAATTGGTCTCCCTCAGTCATCACCTTTGATAGAGTGCTCTGAGCCACCCATGTAAATACATCAGGCCCAGCAATATTATCCATTTATTCTTCATAGGAGTTACACATACTCTGATGTCTAATAACAGAAGGCATGATTATGTAAATATTCTATAACTATCTCAACAGGCACACAAAATGTGCATTTGGGCCTAGAGGGGAAGCTGCATGAGGAGCAGATGAAGTCACTTGGTCTGTTCAGCCTGGAGAAGAAAAGACTGAGGGGAGACCTCATTGCAGTCTTCAGCCTTCTCATGCGGGGAAGCAGAGGGGCAGACACTGATCTCTTCTCTGTGGTGACCAGGACCCGAGGAAATGGCCTGAAGTTGCATCAAGGGAGGTTTAGGTTGGAAAAAGATTCTTCACCTAGAGGGTGGTTGAGCACTGGAACAGGCTCCCCAGGGACGTGGTCACAGCACCAAGCCTGACAGAGTTCAAGAAGCGTTTGGACAATGCTCTCAGGCACATGGTGTGACTCTTGGGGCTGTCCTGTGCAGGGCCTGTGTTGGACTTTGATGATCCTAGTGGGTGCCATCCAACTCAGAATATTCTTGGATTCATTTAGAAATTATTTCTCTGAGACTAAGCAGTTGATTCTAATTTACTGTTCCACTATTACCATAACAAATGTATTGAACAGCTGTGATGGAAAACAGTCAGTTACCTGTTTCTGGGTTGGTCCTTCCTTTGTGAAACGTCCAGCAGAGAAAAATTCTGGGTACTACATGATGAGAGGGGAGGGGGGAAAAAAAAAGACAAAAAAAAGACCAACAGTAAACTAGAGAGGAAAAAAAAAATCTCCAAACACTGAGTTATTTTGTGTTTTGAAAACTTACTTTTGTCAGAAGTTTTCTTCCAAAGTTAAACTTCACCAGAAGAAGAAATAACATGCCAGCAAACATCAGCTTGATAACAGAGCCAAGACCACCTACATTCACATAAGCACCATACTGGACCTGAAGCAAAAACATATTTTCACTGATAAGATTTACAGTAAATTTTTTGCATTAAAATGCATCAAATTTCAATTTTAAAAAAAATAATCTACCTCAAATTAAGATGCATTTGTTTCATAGAACAGATAGGAGTTTAAATAGGGCCTTAAACAAGTGTCTTAGTTCTAAGCAACTCTTTGAAGAATGCTTCACTTTGTCATTCATTCTGAGAAGATAATATAACTACAGAGTGGTGAGGGAGCAGGCATGGTAAATAAGAATGGACAACTTTACAGAAAGATATGTTTTTGGTATCTGATTTCAGCTTTCTTTCCTAGATCCACCTTTCCTTCTCTTTATCCTTTTCTGTAAGAGAAACTGAAATAGCAATGGCAAGCCTTTCTCATTAGTAGCTTCCAAGGATATTTTTAAAGCACTATCTCACTCTCATCTCTTAACTGATGCATATGATTCTGCACAGCAGTTATACAGACTATTGGTGCTGGTGTTCTCTCAGGAAACCATGAAACACAAACATTAAACATCTTTTCCACCACCATCACTTCACACTGCCTTTACTCTGCACACTGGAGACCCAAGCATCAAAGTCTTAAGATATAAATGAGCAGCATATGAATTCTTTACCAGAGAATTTACTACACTATATGCTGACCTAGCTACAGCTACGCAGACTAAAATTATGATCCTTTTAGAAGCTCTACCGGTACAACAAGAAAAGCCTCAGCACAGAAACAGAAATGAATGCATTTAATGCAACCTTTCAAATGTGACTGTGACTCATGGTTTCCATTCCCTACAAATACATATCCAGAAATCAGAGAGCAGGGCAACCCTACAAGACACTCTCATAAGTATCATGCTGGCAGCCAAAGGCAGGCTCATCAGCCACAGTATAAAGCAGCATGGAACAGGTCAGTGCACCCAGAAGACATAGTACACAAATAACAGTAACTTACAGGTGTTTCCTGCAACTCTGTGTGCAAATAACGCTGAGTCCGTTTCACAACAGAACCATCAGATCCCATGAATGGAATAGAGTACTCTTTGAATTCCTGATTGTAAAACAAAAATCCTCTGCAAATGGAAAAAAAATAAAGTCATTTAAAAATGTTCCAATGTTTGTGCAAACTGAAAGAAACTGATCATACTGGCCTTACCATTATCAGCTTTCTCTCAAGCATTTTTATGACATTATCTCTTTTCAGTGAAAGCAAACAATGCCAAATTTATCCCTGCCTCACTCAAAATTCCATGCACTGTAGCAAGGATGAATTTGATAATCAATATAATAGTCTTCTCCTTTTTTTTTTCCCCCATTCTACTAATCACTTCTGAAATCAAAAGTTTGCCACGTCACTAAAAGTCTTCGAACAAGTGAACTTTGAAACCTAGTAGATGCTGAGACATGTTCTCTCTTCATTAAGATATGAACAAATCAGTAAAGCTGAACTTATCTTCAATTCTACTAGATGAGCATCTATGTGTTCATATTATACTGAAGTCCTAAATGCATCCTTTCAGTATTTAATACTATGTTAGCAATCTGTATCATAAATACTGTTAGAAGACAGCATGTTTCACATCTTACACTTATACCTTTTTTTAAGCTTTGCACCAACTATTGGAACAGGGGCATATCCTATCTTTTTTCGAAGCTTCCTCAGGTTGTCTTCATCCGCAAGGCCATAGACAGCTGACTTCCAGGTCCCATCGTGTACACAAACACCCTGGTGACACACCCAAACCAGTAAACAGTTCAGTATTTAAAGGTTTCATGTATTATTTTAACAATGATACTAGAACTATTACACATACTACAATTATTATATATATGTGTTATGATTACATGCATTACAGTGGAGTGGGATGACCTTGGCTGGATGCCAGGTGCTCACCAAGACACTTTATCACTCTCTTCCTAGCTAGGATAGGGAGAGGAGAAAATAAGATGGAAAAATCCCTTGTGTGTGAAGACAAGGCAACTTAATAAAGCAAAAGCTGTGCATGGAAGCAAAGGAAAACAAAAGACTTCTTCTCTACTTTCCATCAGCAGGTGATGTCCAGCCACTTCTCGGGAGGCAGAGCTTCAGTATGCAGAGTGCTTGCTCCGCAACACAGGTGTCGTAGTAACAAACGCCTCCCACCCTTCCTCCTTACCTTTTATTGCTGAACGAACTTGCATGACATGGAATACCCCTTTAGTCAGCTGTCCTGACTATGCCCCCTCCCAGGATCTTGCCCACCCCAGACTACTGGATGAGGGGGAGAATGTTGCAGAGACAGCCTTAGCGCTGTGGGAGCAGTGCTCAGCAGTAGCCAAAACACTGGTGTGTTATCAACACCTCTGCAGCTACCACAGGAAGCACAGCACAGTGATGGCTTCTATGGGGAAATGAACTCAGCCACACCCAATGCAACCTCCATCCCTCATTCCATATGACCCACAACATGCTCAGGCCCCACATACTTAATACGTATCTGTATCTCTTCTAACCATCCCACTGCAGTTAATTCCCATTATTGATATCTCTTCTTACCAACACTTAGAAGTTATGCCACACATAGGTAAACCATCTTTCTACCCAACATACAGATTTATACATACTCATTCACTACTATTCCCTGTTCATTAATAGATGGATATTATTCTCCCATTCCAAGGGCTTCCTCCACTCCTCCAGATGTTTGTAAGAACAGACTGTGACTTAGGCCCTATCTAATAAGATGGGTGATTAAGCCAGAAATAGCATGTTTGGTTGCTGGGCACCAAGACTGGCTTGGATCATCATTGCATTGTTTTAACAATGACATTAGAATTATTACATATATTTCACATTATTACAATTACTACCTACCTGTATCATGATTACATGCATTAAGTATATTGAAACAACTTGCCCCCCAACAAACAAAAAACCCAAAGACAAACACTAGGATTACTGGCAACACACTATGGATCTTGTTACAGTTTTACTTGTGTAAGAATCCTTCCCACATCTCTGCAAAACCAAAATAATTCTTGAAACAGCTTACCACAACAAACTCTAGGTAGACACCCTCTGAAAACAGACCTTACAAAATGGTGTTTGCTTGGGAAACTTTCGTTAGCACCTAAAGAATAAAGTTCTTTAACTCAACTGCCAGCTTGCTCTTTGGACTGTATTAATGTAGCAACAGTTACTCTGATGGGCTAGTCTGATGTTAGCACAAAAACCCCTGAGTTCCAAGAAGGCAGAAACCAACTAACCTCAGGCCCAGATTTTACCGACAGGAAACTTTCAACAGCAGTTAAGGTACCTGTCAAAAGAGAGGAGAAAATATGACTTGGCACTTTCAGCCATTAGTTTGCAAGACCACACTACGCTCTGGGAGACTCAAATAGCAGGCCACTGACATTATCAGCTGAAAAGGCAGAGTTACATCTTTATCTCAAAGCCAAATAACATAAGATGCACAGCTATTTGAGTAAGCAAGTATTAAATTTCTTGTGTAAAGTACTTCAATAACGGTCACTAATACTACCTGCACTCATTAAATTTTTTTCATTTGTCTTACCTAGTTAATGAGATAATGTAAAAAATTCATTGGGGTAAAAAAAGGAAGGAATATTAAGAGCCACATTTCGTTTTCCTCCAAGTTTCAAAATAAAGGATGATGTTGGCTGTGAAAGCAAAGATGGACTAAAAATTTGGTACACCTGAACTACAAAAAAACCCCCCACCAAAATAAAACCACCCATAACCCCCCCAAATAAACAAGTAACCTAAACCAAAACAAAATATCCTAAAACATTCATTTTAGCATAGCTCGTGTTTTGCAAAGAATGCTTAGTTGTGATGAGCAGCAGCACAAAACAGTGCCTCCAAATTCTGTTTTGTTTTGCTTTGCTCAGTTCTTTATGAGACTGTAAAACTACTTGTATGGGTAAATTTCCATATAACAAGCAACCGGATAAACAGGTGGTAATGCCATAAAGTCAAAATAAGAAAATAGACATCTTTATTCAAAACAGGTTTCAAACACGAAATTACAACCTCATGAGCAACTAGATACTCATTTCCATGCCTTGCTTCTCCCTCCAGTTAGATCCCACTTGAGGCTTCTTCAACTGAAAGTTCACAATACACTTCAATATAAACCAACCCCATTTAACAGTCTTTTTCATAGTCCATAAAAGCAAAACATTTGGATACTCCTATCGGCCCTCCCAACTGAAAGTCAGACCTGAGGAACAGTGTATCCTCATTTGAAACCAGGATCAAGTATTATTTACAGAGAATTAAATCCTTTCTTATCTTTTCTCAAATATATTTGTCCTCTTTCAGCTGCTATTAAAGCAAAAGGCACTGCATGGCAGTGTCTTGCTACTTACATGACGGCTTCTAAGAGATTGCAGCTGAAAAAGAAAACTTAGGAAACCTGATTACCTACCAGTCTGTGGACCCTTTCCCACAGCTGTCCCCCCCCGCACTGTCTTTTCCCTACAAGATCCTCTGCACAAGTGGAAGTGTGCTGAGGCTTGCCTAGAGAAGTCCACACACTGGCTGAACAGCTCATAGCTGAAGGTTCTGTCCTCTCAGTGAGCAACATGACCTTGAATCCCTACTCTACCAATCTTCTCCAATATGGGAATACGACTTTGAAATTTCTCTCTACCACATTTGGTTGAAACTGGTCACCTGACAAAGGCAGGCAAAAAGAGTCACTGAAAAGAGTTTCCACAGAAGCACTGCTGCTTTAGGAAACCAGATGAAAGCATAATCTGCATTTCCTTTTCACCATAAGGATGTATTTATTCAAGTCACCTTTCAACTTGTCTCTGGTGTACAGTACTCCCATATCAGCTGGTATGGAGTCAAAGCCACAGCTTCCAACGACATATACCCCCTTTTCCGCAGCTTTTTCGTTGTATTTCAGGTACATTCCCTCCAGGAACTAAAACACAGTCAGAACAAGTATTTTAAGCAGAAATCCATTCTTGGCCATATGCATTAGCCATCAGTGCTTTACTGTCACATTATAGCACCCTACATGCTTCAAACCACCTACATGCACCTTTAAGACAGATATATATATATATATATATATATATATATATATATATATATATATATATAAGTCCTGGTCAAGTATCAAAGTTTCACAGCAGTGCAAAGAAATGTATAGAATTCCTATGCAGAATCACAACTGAGGCTTGAAACAGAATTCAGCAACTTGGGATTTTCCAGAGAGAACCCAAGCAAGGAAACTATACAACCAACACACAGTAGTGTACCTTAAAAGACTTACTGCATCTTTTACAGTAATTGTAGATGAGGAGGCAGAATTTGTGTTCATGTTCAGAAACATCAGCAGAAACATGAAGCACACTGAATAAACACTCCTTTCATAGATCCTTTATGTAAGGTACTGGTTTTTACTGTCACATACCTGGGGCTCTCCACTGATGTCAATGCAGCTTGCACCATTTTCAACACAAGCTTCTACCACAGGCTCTCCAAAGAATCTATACTATAGAAGGAAAAAACACCACACGTAACAAAAGAAAACCCACACACCAGAACTTACCCAACGTGCTTTATCTAATGTACACCTCTACAATAAAAGTAAAATTGGTGGCTATTGATTTTGCTAAGTGGGGCTAAAATGTAACAGCACTTTTATTTCTTGGGGGTGTGGGGAGAAGGAACAGCATAACAAACTCCACCACTGATAATGGAGTTTGCTGCACAGGCTACTACACCTGATCTCTCATAAAATCAGATCACCAAGACCAACTGAATACTGCTGCTAGTCTCACTCTATGTTTTTTGTGCTTTATTATCAGCATATTCTCTGCTTAAACACTCTTAATTTCAAAGACATTGGCATGACCCAACTTCCACCTCCCATACTTTGATGCCCTCTGAATGTACTGGAAACACTGCCGCTGGAAGTTTTAAAAGAGTCAAGAGCTTACAGCAGCAAGCCTGTGGGCCCCTCTTCCTGCCACTCGAAACACTCTGGCCCAAAGTGAAACGTCGGGCCAACCTTACCATCAGTTTCTTATGCTTCCTATGGAAGACCTAAACCGAAACCCGCTGTATTTGAGTGAGATGTGTCCGCGCATCGCGCCACCAGCCATTGCAGTGGCACACCCTGCGGCCACTGCAGTAGGCGGCTGTCCTTCGGGTTCAAGGAGCCGCCCCGCCCGCACCCCGCACTCACCGGGCCCACGCAGTTCAGCACCACCCGGGTCTGCTTCGCCATGGCGGCCAGCGAGACCGCGTCGCCCACATCGCACAGCAGCACGTCGACCTCTGCCCCGAGCGTCGCCTTCCCTGCGCACCGGAGACCGCGGTCACCCTCACCGCCCTCCCCGGGGCGAGCCCCACCTCCGCGCCCCAGCGCCAGGGCTCGCCCCGCAGCCCTTCCCCGCACACCCGCCCGCGGGCGGCTCCGGGCCCGACCCGCTGCCCCCCTGCCCCGGCGCTGCGCCCCCGGCCCGGCCGCGGCCCGTACCCAGTCGCTCGGCCGCCCGCTCCAGCACCGCCCGCAGCTTCTCGCGGCTCCGCCCGGCCACGGCCCAGCGCAAGGGGCCGCGGCACAGCGGACCCTCGCCGGCGGCCGCCGCCGCCGCCGCCCGCGCCACCTCCTCCACCACGAACTGTCCGGTGAAGCCCGAGGCGCCGAACACCACCATGTCGTAGAGCCGCTCGGCCGCCTTCGTGCCGCTGCCGGCCGCCATGGCGAGAGCAGCCGCCGCACTATGGGCAGCGCCGGGATGGCCGCGATCACACCGCTCACAGCGCTCACAGCGCTCACAGCACCGCCCCGCCCCGCCCGCCCCCGCGGGCTCAGCCCCGCCCCGCCCCGCCCGCGCTCTCGGCCCCGGCCGGGGGAGAAACCACCTTTGGTCGCGTTGCGGCAGCTGGGGCAGAGCGGGTGGTGCTGCCTGTCGGGGGCGGTGACATGCCATAAGCGAATAGAAGCGTGTCAGGGTACGGCCGAGAGGGCTCGGAGCCCGGCTGTGTAAGCAACAACATTTGTTGGGAGAAGCCGCCATGGAATCAGAGAATGGTTCAGGTTGGAAGGGACCTAGAGGATCACCTAGTTCCAAGCCTTCTGCCATGGGCAGGGGCACCTTCAACTAGACCAAGTTGCTCAGAGCCCCATCCAACTTGGCCTTGAACACCTTCAGGGATGGGGCATCCACAGCTTCTCTGTGAGAAGACCTGTTCCAGTGTCTCACCACCCTCACAGTAAAGAATTTTTTCCTAAAATCTAATCTGAGCCTACCATCTTTCAATTTGAACCCATTTGCCCTTGTCCTGTCACTACATGCTCTTGTAAATAGTCTTGCCCCATCTTTCCTTTAAGTTCCCTTCAAGTACTGGAAGACCATAATTAGGTCACCCTGAACCCTTCTCTTTTACAGGTTGAACAATCTAAATTCTCTCAGCCTTTCCTCAGAGGAGAGGTGTTCCATCCCCCTGATCAACTTGGTATCCCTCCTCTGGATCACCATCATTGGTCCCACAGCAGACATATTCTCTCGCGATGAGTGTGAGCTACTACTATAGGCTTTTCAGCACAGGTAATGCAGATGGTCTGCAATTAATAAAAAAGAAAACTTTAATTACCTAGAAGTAAAATGAAACACACTGTCTTCCCCGAAATTGCAGCAAATATTTATGGTTTGCTCAACAACAAAAGCAGAACAACAAAAAATGTGAAGTTTCTGCTGTGGTGGGGAGAAGCAGTGGCCCTGCAGAGACACTTTGGTATGGAGCATCCAAGACTGCACTGAGTGGTGAGGTATGGCTGTGTTTTCTGTGCTTTCCATGGCCAGGCTACTCACCTTGATTCCAGAGGCTCGCAGCAAGTCACGTGGGAACAGCCTCGTGAATCCTGCTCTCTGGCCCTTTTTCCCAGGTAGCATCTACCGTATCTAAACTCTTCTCAACAGAGGCCTGTCAAACCTGTTTTAAAACCTCCAGTGACAGACGCTTTCACACTGTTCCTCAGGCAGTCTCCACCTGCATTTCTTATACATATGGCTAGAGACAATAAGCTAGATCTTAAGACCTGTAGTTTTAGCCCTATACTATTTATCCTGTTTCTTGAGGACATCTTGGCAAAAGATTTAGCCAAGATTCTTGAGGACATCTTGGTAAAAGATGCTGCACAGCTGGAAACTGCCATGCATCTCCTCAGTCTTCCCTATACTAAAAAGAGTTTTTTGATTTTTCCATACAGGCCACTTCATACATACATTTTTCCTGTTCTCTTCTGAACTTTCTCCAACTGTTTTACATTTTTCTGGTAACCTAGTGTCCACTACTAGACACCACATTCACATTGTCAGTGCTAAATTGATTGAGGTTAGTTGATGGGGTGGAGTTTACCACTGTTTCTACATGCCTCAAATATTAGCCTTTTTTTTTTTCCTTTTTGCAAGTGTCATTGTTGCTGCGCTTGAATCTCAAGATCTGTTCCACCTCGGAGGCTTTTTCAAATTACTGCTACCTAACTAGTCTTTTCCCATCTCAGATCTGCCTGAAGAGTAAAGACTTTTCTGAATACATGCTAAATGTCTCATCTCCAAGGCAGTATATTCTCTCCTCTAAGCATCAGTATCAACTCCTTGAGTAGTGCTGATGCAGTTGTTTGTAGGCCTACACCATCAGCTGTGGCAGTGAAACAAATCAGTCTAACAAAAAACAAAGAGTGGGGGAGGGAAGGACAAAGACTTGTTTTGTGTTCCTTTTTAATTCAGATAATTTTGTTGATCTGATTTACAGATCAACCCTGCAAAACCAGTTTCTTGTCTTTGAGGTCACTGAACATCTCATTAGTCAAGCTGATCTCTTCTACCTTCCACTCCTTCCTACATTCAGGGATAATTTCCATCTGTGCTCACAAGAGTGTTGAGCTCCTCTGAGCTGCTTTCTTCTTATTCTCAGTTTTTTTCTTCTGCCATCAATTGTTGAAGTAAAGTCTGTTTTCTTTGAGGCCACTGACTTTGGTCTTCCATTGTCCTTTCTCTTTTGTAAAACATTGCAACAATAAACAATATATATTTTTCCCCAAATTTGAAGTTAACAAAAATATTTTTTCTTCAGACTTTGCATTAGTATTTAAAATTATTCAGCAACAGGAGGCTGTAAGAAGTCTGCAAATTTACTGAGGGATTTTGACATAGCTTGCAGGTCTGGCTGGGATCCTCAGACTGCTTTCTGCATCCCTTTGCTCCAGATGCTTGCCTCTCTTGCCTACTCTCCCTCTTCCATATTATCTCCTGTCACTCCCAGAGAACAAGGCGATTTATAAATGTATGATTCTGACTCAACCATTTGTAAAGAATCAGGACTGCACAAGCTTCCTCGGGCCACATGTATTTGATAAGACCTTCATTGTATTGATAGGCCAGTGGCTTGGCAAGCACAGGCTTGTATGCAGTGCTGAGCGCCCTGTCTCCTCTTGATGACTGAAACATTTCACCAGCTTGGGCAGACCTACCCTGTTTATCAATTCCCAACTCTCAAAATTTCACCTACTCTTTCAGTGTCATCTCTGTTCTTTAAAACACATTGCGGGAACAAGATAACTCTTGTAAATTGCAGCTTGCACAAGCAAGAAATCAGGCTTTAAGAATTGCAGAAGGGTACCTGAGAAACAACTAGAGAGGTATCAAAACATGAGGCAAACTTGGGGCTTGTTTGAGTTTGGTTTTTTGTTGTTGGGTGTTGTGATTTGATTTGGGTTGGTTTTTTTGGTTGTTTTTTTCTTTTTTTTGGCTTACATAAAAGATCATTATGGTAGCTCCAACTCTTTTTTATTTTTTTTTTTTTGAGAGAGAGCTCCCTCTTTGGCAAGTTGAAGAATTCTGTATGCAGACATCTCCAGTTTTCCTCCAGCTCTCTGGGTTAAAAAAGAACGAAAATCAAAGTCTCTTAAGACAGTTTACATTCCTGACTGTGTAACTAACAAGTAGATTTCAAAATAGCAAACATCAAGGTGATGTCAAGGCTCTGATTTTAAATGGAAGGCTTAGAGCGGTCTTGACTAAAGGCAAAGGTTAACCTGTCTTCCTAGTTAGTGTCACCAATGCAGGATTGCAAAAATTATTCTGTGGGAAAGCAGTGGGATGATTTACAGTTTTTCCTCATCCAATAGGAAGACAAGAAGTGTCAGATCTGCTGCCAAGTTCAGTTCTGCAAAGAAAGTTCCAACCTGAATCAGCTTTAGAAGCTCACCAAAAAAAAAAAAAAAAGATACTGCTGTTTCTTTTAAAATCTTCTTTTTCAGATTTGAAGGTCTTTTGGTTTTTTCCACATGTATCTGCATACAGATACTTGCAGATTTCATTTCTTTAAAGCCTGCTTTAGCTAGACTGACTCAGTCTAATATAGCTTCAATTACTAGAACTCTCTGCCAATTTTTTTTGGCATAGAAAAGCATACAAGTGAACATGTGCACACACCCCCACATCTGTGCGTGAATTCACCGTATCTTTTCAAATTCCTTAAATAAAAAGGGTCATGCCTCCCTTTTCTAGCTTCTCCTGTTCCACCTAGAGCCTCTAACAGGATCTAAGGAATCTGTGTAAGCATTTATAAGAACACCTATATGCCCCTTCATTTCATGCAGCAGTTGTTTAGATAAAATCCTTCATATCTATATTTCTTTCATGTATTTAATATTTTTCTTGGACACCAATCTTTGTGGTAAAGTTTTTTATACTCATAAGTTTAGGATACTTTTTGTTAATTAGAGTGGAAATGCAGATGTTCCATTACTACTTTTTCATTAAAATAATAATAATAAGGTAGCAGAAAGAGTGCAACACGATGTCAATTACACAATGTTGCATGAAGGCAATCTTTTTAAACACAACATGGTAATTGTCTTGTACCTCAAAGGATGAAATAAGATAGTTGGCTGGAACCTTTGCAAAAGTTAGTACGGAACTCAAGAAAAACAGAGCATAAGAGTAAGCAGAGGTGTTGGGAAATTAGGTTGATTAACAATGCACAGATAATTCACTGCAGGGTATGAGGAGTTATGTGGGTGAGTATATAAGGGATTTACAAAAAAAAAAAGGCAGGCATCTATGTACCTGCTACAGTTACTCAGTACTCTAAGACTGTGAGAACAAAAGCTTCTGGAACAAAGCCCACAGTTTTTAGTGCCATGATGTATCTTATTCTTAATTTATGCAGAATATTACTTTATAATCTAGAGACGATAGGCTCCAAAAAGCCAACCTATACTTAGAACTGGCAATAAACCAAACCAAACCAAAAGGAGGAGCTTGAAATGCTCAGAAAGCTTGAAAGACTGCAGACAACCCAACAGACAGCTGCTTGTCACATATGGCAGTTTAGTAATGCTTTATTTCTTTTATTTTAATTTCATTTTAAAATTAAAATATCATCTAATCTTTTTGAAAAAAAAACCCCAACCAAACCAACCTTGAATCATAGAATCATTTAGGTTGGAAAAGATCCTTAAGGTCACCGAGTCCAAATGTGAATCTAACACTGCCAAGTCCACCACTAAACCATGTCCCTAACCACCACATCCACACAGTTTTTAAATGTCTCCATGGATGGTGAATCCACTACTTCCCTGGGCAGCCTATTCCAATGCTTGACCACTCTTTCCACAAAGAAATTCTTTCTAATATCCAATCTAACCCTCCTCTGGCACAACTTGAGGCCATTTCATCCCGTCTCTTGGTACCTGGGAGAAAAGGTGGATCCCCACCTGGCTACAACTTCCTTTCAGGTAGTTGTAGAGAGCAATATGGTT